ATCTCGGCTCACTGCAACCTCTGCCTCCCGGGTTCAAGCAGTTCTCCTGCCTCAGCCTCCCGAGTAGCTGGGACTACAGGCGTGCGCCACCATGCCCAGCTAATTTTTTTATTTTTAGTAGAGACCGGGTTTCACCTTGTTGACCAGGATGGTCTCGATCAATTGACCTCGTGATCCACCCGCCTCGGCCTCCCAAAGTGCTGGGATTACAGGTGTGAGCCACTGTGCCCGGCCAGTTAATTGTTTTTTTTTGAGACGGAGTTTTGCTCTTGTTACCCAGGCTGGAGTGCAATGGCGCGATCTCGGCTCACCGCAATCTCCGTCTCCTGGGTTCAGGCAATTCTCCTGCCTCAGCCTCCTGAGTAGCTGGGATTACAGGCGCGTGCCACCATGCCCAGCTAATTTTTTGTATTTTTAGTAGAGACGGCGTTTCACCATGTTGACCAGGATGGTCTCGATCTCTTGACCTCGTGATCCACCTGCCTCGGCCTCCCAAAGTGCTGGGATTACAGGCTTGAGCCACCGCGCCTGGCTAATTGTTTTTTAAGAATGAGGACTACCAGACATGGTGGCTCACATCTGTAATCCAGCACTTTGGGAGGCTGAGGCAGGAGGATCGCTTGAGCCCATGAATTTAAGACCAGCTTGGGCAGCACAGAGAGATCTCATCTCTGCAAAAAATTTTAAAAAATCAGCCAAGAATGATAGCACATGCCTGCAGTCCCAGCTACTCAGGAGGCTGAGGTGAGAGGATCGCTTTAGCCTGGGAGGTCAAGGCTGTGGTGAGTTGTGATTATGCCACTGCACTCCAGCCTGGATGACAGAGTGAAAATCTGTCTCAAAAATAATAAGAATGAGGATGTTCTTTATGTACTGATTTGTAGGAAAAATCTCTGAGATTCATAGTTAAATGGAGAAAACGCTGCATAGTACATTTACTGTACTACCATTTGTGTGAAAAGGGGAGTAAGAATATCTGTATTTGCTTGCATATGTAGAAAGAAACTTGGAAAAGATTCACGGGAGAACAATAATGGTAGTAAGCAGGGGGATTAGGAAACTAGGTATATATTAAGAGGGAGACTGTACTTTATACCTTTTAATGCTTTCCTTGGAACCACGTGAATGTTTTACCTGCATATTTATTTAATTTTTAATTTTCTTTTCTTTCTTAATTTTTTTTTGAGATGGAATCTCGCTGTTGCCTGGGCTGGAGTGTAGTGGCGCGATCTCAGCTTACTGCAACCTCTGCCTCCCGGGTTCAAGTGATTCTCCTGCCTCAGCCTCCCGAGTAGCTGGGCTTACAGGCACACACCACCATGCCAGCTGATTTTTTGTATTTTTCATAGAGTCGGGGTTTCACCATGATGGCCAAGCTGGTTTTGAACTCCTGATCTCAAGTGATCTGCCTGCCTCGGCCTCCCAGAGTGCTAGGATTACAGACATGAGCCACTATGACCGGCCTTATTTTAAATTTTTGTTTTACTTGTTTAAAGAAGTAAATTGTACTTTTTTTTTTTTTTTTTTTTTAGAGTTTTTTTTTTTTTTTTTTTTTTTTTTTTTTTTTTTCTTATGTCACATTTTACTTTAACAGCACATTTAAATGGAATACAATCTTTAAATGGAAGCTGACAATTTATTTCCCTGGAGAATTTTTGAAGTATAATAACATTTGATTGATTGAACTTTATTTAGTAAGAACTCTTAGCAAAACTCCCTCCCAGGCACACCCACACAGTGCTTCCTTTTCAGTGAACTACAAATCTCTGAAACTCAAAACTCCAATCTAAAAGTACAAGATTGCTGGACTTGATGGCCCATGCCTGTAATCCCAGCACTTTGGGAGGCCAAGGCAGAAGGATTGCTTGAGCCCAGAAGTTGAAGACCAACCTACGCAACATGGTGAAACCTTGTCTCTACAAAAAATTAGTCAAGCTTCACCAACAACCTTTTAGGAATCATTCATTAATTAACTCAGTAAATATTTTCTGAGTATGTACTCTGCTACAGGAGACAGTAGAGATCCAGCAAAGATTAAGAACATGTGTTGCCCTTAGAGAAAATTTACATTCTAAGGAGATAAAGATGAATAATCAAGTAACAAACAGGAGCTACATCAAATGATCATAAGTACTATTCAGAGAATTAAAACCAGCAGATCAACATAGAGAAAAGCTTTCTTACATTTGATAGGAAATTCTCTCTCTACCAGGAGAGAACTGAATGACAAGGAATAGTCAGGTGGGAGAAGGGCATTCCAGCTGAAACAGCCCTGAACAGAGAACTAGAAAGGCAAGTTTGAGAAAAGGAATGGAGACAGGAGTAACAGTATGTGGTCAGAGCAAGGACCAAACCGTTTTAGACTTCATGAGCCTAAGAAGTTTTGATTTTGTTAGTAGCATGAGAAGAGGCCATGTAATCGAGTTTTAAGTGGAGGAATGAATGACTTGATCTCATTTTGTTTAAAAAATCATCCTGGCTGTAGTGTGGAGAATGGACTAGGGGAGCATAAAAGCAGAAAGACCAAATTAGAAGCCTATTAACAGTAATCCAAATGACAGATAATAGTGGTTTGAACCACAAAGATTGTGGGCGTAGAAGTAGATAAAACCAGGAGACATTTTAGAGGTATTCTGGCAGAATTTTTGGCTGACTAGATACAAGTACTAAGGAAAAGAAAGGAATCAAGAATAATTCCGGTATTTGGGACTTGAGAAACTGGGAGAATGGTGCTGCTGTTCACAAAAGTGGAGAAGATGGAGGAGAAGCTTAGAATAGTAGGAGAAATCAGAGATGGAAATAAATGTTTGGGAAACACATTTTTCTAATTCCATAGTGCCTACGAATTTCTGTTGATAGACTAAAAATGTCTGGAATTTTATATGCAATTTCATCTGGACAATACCCTAAGAGGAGATCAGTTATACCTTGGCATATGCTAGTAGCCATAGGAATGTATATATGTAGAATAAATGATAAAACTACTGAGTGCTTAGTATTTATCAGACACCATGACATACGTCTTTCAAATACTATCCCAGTAGAATTTACAACAGCTGTATCAGGAGACACTTTTTACAATCATCATTTTACAGATGAAGACATTGAAGTTCAAAGAGGTTAAATAACTTGCCCCAAATCACATTATATAGAAGAGAAATCCAAATCGTGGTAGTCTGACCCTAGAACTTGGGCCAATTACCACTGTATAATGCAGTGTCACTGGGGTAAACCCAAGATAGTCTTAACATAAATTAGAGACTTTTAAAT